TTCTTCATAACTACTTCATAAGATGGGCATTAATCACCTTGGGACAACACAGTAACAAGCTTGGTGTATCTCAACCCAAATAACTACTCCCTCAACGTCATATGCCTTTGTTCTCTTGTGTAATCAATGAGGTGGACCATTAATTGACTGAATTATCAGATGATGATATCTCACTTCATAGTACATCCAGAACTCACATGGCCCGACATACGTGATAATGACTCTCGGTGAGAGAAGTGATGCAGCGGATCATCTTCTTAGTCATGGTGCCTTCTTATTCTGGCAATGGCACAGAGTTGACGAATCACAATCCCCGCCACTTCAAACATTGTGCTGTGATCATTGCCTTGCCTATAGATCTCATCATACATTCCAATGCATCAATAAACCAATTTGCTCACATTGTCGAGACCTCCACCACTGAAGAGCGGCCTGATCTGGGTAGTGACTGAGTGGTATGAAGAACATTCCACTTCATAATGATGGACTTCACCATACTTAAAGGGATAATCAGCGACTTTGAAATTTCCTTGTAACCTTCTCCTGATCTGTGCTTCTCTACCATTTTTTCCTTGCGTTGTTTAGAAAGCTCCTTTGTCTTCATGGTTGGTTTGTTGTATCACGATGTGAGTTGTGTCTTCAACAGATGCATTTACTCTCAAGTCAAGTTAAACCACTTTCATTACACCCATACAGAGACTATTACAATAATTTTGTGACCTTTCTAACTAATCTTTTGCACCTGAACTGATTTAGTGTTGCCGTAGCAAAGAAGTTGAATACGTATGCAATTAAGAATACTTTCAACTTACTTACATAATCTCAGAGGTTCTCAGCTTTCTCAATCTGGAGTAGACTGCGTAGATTCTAAATATCAAGTCTCATTTGAAAGTTTCAGGATTGCAAACTCAGACGGCAACAAATTGTGGAACTTTGCAGGGGTGAATACCTTTACAAGGCACTGCAGCCGTATTGGACAAATGAAGTAGAATATTAAAAGTCAAATAAATGTGCCGCCATGTGTAGTATTTTTCACGAACCTCCTGATATTCAATGCTTCGCCAGCTTTTGACTGTAACAACTAAAATTTTATAATTCTTGTGGTATTGTTGAGGTTTGTTTTATCTATTACATTAAGAGTATCGAAACATGACTACAATATGTTGTACCATTTTTCAATACATCAACAACCTCAGTACAAAACAAAAATAGGTATAATTAAGAAATGTGAACTTATTGTAGTGTTTATCTAAATTTTCATCTTTATTTATATTAACGACCTCAGTAGGTTGCAAATACAAGTGGAGTTAGAACGTCTGAACCGTTATCCACAGCAATGTTGTATAAAATGGTTTAGGTTTTACCTTAGAGATTTCAGTAATGCTCGGCTACAGGTTGACCAAGTTGTTTCTCCTTTAGAGGCACGGCTGGGAGACATTATGAATCCGTTTTTATTGCATCTAACGTTAGAAGGCCATCCATCGTGATAAAGACCTAGACTAAAATATAAAAAAAAAAGAGTTTAGTTTTTAAAATATTGAATCTACGAGGATTCATAGACGAAACAATTAGTAGATCACATATATTAACTTGTCTGCTATAAAACATATTTCTAGTTAAAAATTAAAGATAAATGAAATAAAATAGTAAGCTACACATTATATACATAGAATTTATAACCCAGCTCAACCATTAGATAATTCAAGCTACATGTAGACACAAAGTTAATTGCTGTATGGTGTTAAATTTTGTAAGTTCAACAAACTATAAAACAGATGCTAAAATATATAAACAATATAAATCTATAGTTTCATTTGTAAAGATTAAGCCGATTCTTATTGATTTTGAAATTGGACCCAGTTTACCAGCCCACAGTGGCTCAGCAATATGTTTGTTAGTTAGTTAAGCACAAAGCTACACAATGGACAATCTGTGGTGTGTCCACCACACCTATCAAAACCCGGTTTCTAGCGTTATAATTCAGACTTATCGCTGTGACAATGGGAAGCAGTCTGACACCTATTAAAGCTCAAATTAGTTTAACAATCATCAGTTTTTGTTTCTAATCTGTATAATACATAATCATCTATACTTAATATACTAAAATCATTAAATGCACCAAAGCTTTGTAATAGTGTACGTTTTTCTTTAAATTGCTAATTTTCATTAAATTTGTTTACCTGTAAATCTGTATTAAAATAGACTATTGTGTCTCCTGGTGGCTCAGCGGTAAGCCTGAGAGCTTGTCACTTCCATATCCAAGATGGGCAGAACACAGATAGGCCATTGTGCAGCTTTGTGCTTAACAACAAACAAATTTCGGCAATGAACGATAAAATTCTTAAACATATTTATTTTTTAAAATACTTGAGTTAGGAAATGTCTTTACAGTGAGATGACGTAGATTGTACACCTTTTCGATTTCTACACGCCTGACTTATGACCAATTAATGGTGTAATAAGCATTTATAGTAGCCTGAATTATTACTTAAGAGATGGCTTTAGTGATTAAATTACATTAGATGTTCAAAAGTGACTTTTCGTGATAAAAAATGTCTTAGAATCCTCGGCACCATATAATATATAGTATACAATCTATAAAATACTAGCTTATAAATTATATCAACTGTGTTTAATTATCATGCGTTTAAATTCAGTTCGGAATAAGCAGGTCATAGTTTCGAAGAATGACTTTAATTATCACTTGATGGGCTAGAAATATTACTGTTACGTTTACTCCTAGAAGTTCACCATCTAAAAAAACTTGCTAGAAAGATTACTGTTACGTTTACTCATAGAAGTTCACCATCTAAAATAAAACTATCCAGAAAGATTACTGTTACGCTTACTCCTAGACGTTCATCATCTAAAATAAAACTTGCTAGAAATATTACTGTTACGTTTACTCCTAGAAGTTCACCATCTAAAATAAAACTGGCCAGAAAGATTACTGTTACGTTTACTCCTAGTAGTTCACCATCTAAAATAAAACTGGCCAGAAAGATTACTGTTACGTTTACTCCTAGTAGTTCACCATCTAAAATAAAACTGGCCAGAAAGATTA